CAGGTCAGAGATATATTGGGGAGCTTCACTGTGCTGAGCTCTAAAAGTTACAACTAAAATTTTAAAATGAACCCTAAAATTTACTGGCAACCAATGAAGAGAGGCCAAAACTGGAGTAATGTGTGAGCTCTTGTTTGTGCCAGTTAAAAGTCTGTACGGTCTGAAGGCGATCCAGAGCTGATTTATTGAGACCAGTAAAAAGACTATTACAATATGCCAAACGAGAAGAGATAAAAGCATGAGTAATCATCTCAAGTTCTGCCTTTGACACCAGTAGTCTGAGTTTAGAAATGTTTCTTAGATGATAAAAACAGTTCCGGACAAGTTGTTTAGAGTGTTTCTCAAGAGACATTGAACTGTCAAATATAACACCTAAGTTTCTGAGACTCGGCTGAAATGAAGGGTCTAAAAAACTGATATGCTGCTTAATTTCTGAGGTGCAGTAATCAAGGTTTCTGTTTTATCTGCATTTAACTGGAGGAAACTGTCATTTAACCATTGTTTGATTTCTGACAGGCAATTATTTAAACACGACAATTTGTAAAACTCGGAAGTTTTGAAAGAACAGTATAACTGAATGTCATCAGCATAGAGATGATAAGAAATATTATTGTGATGTCTGATAATTTGGCCTAGAGGGAGTATATACTGCAAAAAAAGAGAATCGGACCTAAAACAGATCTTTGAGGTACCCCAGAAGGCAGAACTAATGTTTCAGACAACACATGATTCATACAAACGGTAAAAGATCTCTCAGATAGATACGACATAAATCATTTTAAAACAACACCAGTAATCCCAAACAAGTCCTTCAGCCTATTTATCATGATGCTGTGATCAACAGTATCAAAAGCAGAGGTGAGATCCAACATAACCAGAATGGAGTACTCTCCAGAGTCTGCTGCCATCAGAATGTCACTAGACTCTTTAAGTAAAGCAGGTTCAGTGGAGAGCGGAAAATGTCCAGAACATTGTTCTTTTCCAAAAAGTTGTTAAGTTGTTCTGCAACTGTTTTTTCCAATATCTTTGACACCAATGGTAATTTTGATATTGGCCTGTAACTGCTTGGAAGAGATGGGTCCAAATTTGTTTTCTTTAATATTGATTCAACAATAGCTTGTTTAAAATAGCTGGGAACTGAGCCAGTATAAAGAGAAGTATTAATTATTTCCAGAACACAGGGGCCAATAGAGTCAATCACACTAATGAAAAATGATGGAGAAAGTACATCAAGGTGGCTTGAAGTCAGTTTCATACGACCGAGCAAAGCACTGATGTCCTGTAAGGTAACGGGAGTAAAAGAGGACCAGGTATCAGAGGTAAGCAAAGTGTCAGTGTGATACTGGGAGGATGATGGAGAAATATTTGACCTGACGGCAGCGACCTTATTAACAAAATAATTTAAAAAGTCATTACAGATTTAGTATAGACTGGTACATGAGGAATATCAGGAGAGAAAATGTTCTTAATTGTATCAAACCGCCCCTCCTTGAGCCTGGAGGTTTTTTCTTGTTAAAAAGGTGTTTTTCCTTCCCAGTCTCACCAAGAGCTTTTTCATAGGGGTTCATCTGATAGTTGAGTTTTCTCTGTATTTATTTTTCTCTGTATCATTGTAGGGTCTTTACCATACAATATAAAGCACCTTGAAGCAACCATTGTTTTAATTTGGTGCTATATAAATGAAATTGAATTGAATTGAATTGAATTGAATTGAATTGAATTGAATTGAATTGAATTGAATTGAATTGAATTGAATTGAATTGAATTGGAGTTCATAAGTCCTCTCGTCTAATACGAAGAACACTGAATAAAAGCTTTATTTTAAAGTCTTACTTTACTGCAAATTTTTGAAATCCTATCAAATTGAAGATAAAAAATATGATATTCAAGAAACAATTTGAGTTTTACCGATAGAATCTTAATATTGTATCACTTGGGCTTCCTTGGCCATAAAATGTGGACACAGTGCCTGTCATTTTGAAAAGAAAGGGCTCTGTTTGCCCAACCCCCACAAATGTGGCATCAATACAAAGCCCAAGATGTGCTAGTGACTCTACAGTAGGACTAAGATATATTGCATAAATTCTATTTGATGTAGAAGTTTCAGACTCATGTCCTTCATAGAGGAGAAGAACGAATTCCGGGTCTTGGGAGAATATACAGTATGTAATCTTTGAGAAGCTGACAAAGTAAAGTCAAGACTTTACAAAAATGAGAAATCTAACAGTCTCCCCTTGATGGCTGGTTGAGTGTAAAATCCCCTAGACATAGTGTGCCTGGGTCTCTCTCTCAAGTGGTGTAGATGAAAAGACTGCAAAATAATTACATTTAGAAAATATCCGACATCCTAATGTGTCTGTATAGTACACGCTGCATTGATTTCTAAGAAATGGCATCCTGGGTATAAATCAAAAGAGGCATCTCCCAAAACCAAAACCAATTCCTGGAAGGAATCTTGTGTCGTTTTTTTTTTTTTTTTAGTTCAACAACATGGTAGACAGCAAGACAGCAACATGGTCACTGATCTCCAAAGAACAGAGCAGACCAGGACGTGAGATTCAACAACTTTGAGATGTTGCAAGGGTATCCTTTTTTTTTTTTTTTGGTACTTTTTCTGATACTGCTAATGTCCACATTGCTGAAACGTGTAAAATAAATACATTTGACAGGTTAATGTTATGGTTTGGTGTCTGATTCTGTCTTTGCATTCATTAATCCAGACCTGACAATCCATAACACATTGCTCTTTGTGTGTTCTAAAAGCATTTTCTTTAATTTATTTGTTATTATTTTTGCATGTATCACATGTTTCAGATCATCAAATACATAAGCCATCCAAACTTCCTTGCCCCTATTTCATCTTCAAAGCAGACACAAACAGAAAAGGAAATTATACTAAGATCATTATTAGATTATATTAGAGTATACTAAAGTCTCATTTCACTTTGTTAATCGGTCTGTGTGTCCCTCCACAAATAGTAAACAGCTTTGTTTGTGTAATAAAAGAAATGACGCTTTTTTAGCATCAGATGTGGGGACAGTGCGCGTAATATGCGTATGCTAATGTTTTTACATAGCACCAGCGTTGTTTTTATACATGTCGTCAAAGCACTGATGTCACATTTTATCATCTGGGGACGCAAACAAACACGTATTACAATGTGCCAAAAAGCTCCCCACGCTTAAACCAACGCCGTTTTCATAAGGCATCTGCGGATTGGGGAAAATCCAAACTTTTTTTTTTTTTTTACCGTGCACGACGACCATTTGACGTCACTGAATCTGTCCCCTGAGCGTCCCCCCAGGTCACGTGCTATAGGAGACAAAAGGTGGATATTCTTATATTTTTATTTGAACTTAAACTAACCTGTCTAATTAAAACATCACTATAAAATAATAAGAAATCAGCCCCATCAAACTGTTATATTGGCTCTTTATTTATTTCAGATGTTAACTGTGAATATCAAAATCTACAATTAAACATGACAATAAATCATTTTAGCTATTTTCTAGTCAAATATTATGCTATGAGCGTTATTTTATTGCTATTGCCACTGTTATCAGTGCACAGAATGTATTATTTTTTTACACAATGGAATCATGGTTACAACTGTGTTTGCACATAAGAATAAGTCCATAATGTTATGTTGCTTCACTCCTGACAAAAGACAAAAGGATGAAATATAAATAAACCAACTGAATGAAAGAGCAGCTATGATTGCATTGAGGCAGTAGTTAATGTCGATTTATTAACAGTAACGACTTATTTATTAATTTATTTTATTATTATTATTTAGCTGTGCCCTCTTTAAAATGAAATCTATTGCAGTGCCAAACAGCAAGCCTAGCGTCTTTCGTTTCAGAGGCGGGGAGATATTTTCGTGTAATTGCGCATTGCCCAAACCAAATGGATGGCTCAGACAGGATTTGAATATCCAAAGAAGCCTAACAAAGCCAAAAGCCAAGCTCCAAGCACACATCTGGTGACGCACATTTGTTTTGCTCTTCAAAGTTGACATAGGTAAACTTACAGCGTCTCATTGGCTTCTCCGCCAATAGCTGACGTTTCCAGCTCTGACACACTTTTCTTTCTCTCACTTCAATGCACCAGCACACAAAAACTCGATTGTGCGTCAGTGACATGTCATATGTATGTCCTATAGTATATAGAAGACCTAGCTGTAACTTAAAGACTGTGTCTTTCTTAATTCTTTAGTAAATAGTGAAGTATAGTGTGGATAAGAAACGCCAGCAGCTTCGAGGCAGGCATTGGACAGGCAGGACATGCGGCGTGGTGGCGGGGTTTTTGAATATTGGATTTCTGATTGAGGGAATCCATTGTGCAGCCGTATAAGGGGCACGAGAACAGCACGAGCCAAGAGAACAAAGGCACCAGATGGCTTCCTGCTTCGATACATTATTTTTGAAGTTACACAGACACAGAGGCCATTAAGAGCTGCCCAAAGGGAAATCTAGAAGTGGGCAGTTAATCACGAGAAAAAACGTAGAAAAAAAAACATTTTTACTACAGCAGTTCCCAAAATAGAGAAGTGGTCTTTACGAGGGGTTTCTTTGTGTTCTTTAAAGTCTTTATTTGATTTGCCATTTATTATTTCCGCAGAGAATAATAAACCAGAAAAAATAGCTTAAAACATAACAACAAAAGACGAAAACGCTCGAAACGATTCTTCTGCGTTTCTTCGTTTTCAGAATGAAAAAGCACATTAGTACACTATTGAATTGCTCCCCTTATAGTCAAACTGATGACACTTTAGCTCGCAGTCCAGCGCAGAACATTAAAAACAAACTGGGTTCAACTTCAGAGAGCTTTAAAACATTTAATCTTCTTGCTGTTTTCTATTTTTATTTCATTTTATTTTATTTTATATTATTTTTCTGTACTATTATAAGTTCCTGCACAGTCCTTCAACCAGTGAGTGGGCGTGGTCTGCAGGGGTGCCCGCCCACAGACAGAAGCGTCTCTAACAGTGAGCCTCCAAATCTCGTGTTCTAAAAGGGCGCTCAATACAACCTTAGCCATCAGACTGACTACACGGGACTTGATCCACGAGCACAGGATCGGCGTGTCACACGTGGTATGTTTTTCACTTTTAATTTAAACGGCATCATACCCTTTCTGATTACAAAATATATAGATAAAAGCTAGATACAGTGTAGTAGTGTTGCTTTTTGTGGGAGAGCTCAGCTATTTATAATAACATTTGTGTGCTGCTCTTTTATTATAATGGATGTATATATTTGAGATATTTGGTGTCACAATTTGAAGTAGACTATGCTGTTTGCGCTGTAGTGTTTGGCCAGCAAGCTGATATGACACCTATAACTAAAGCTGCTATAACACGTGACCATGGGGTTTTACAGTATTGTACATTATCTTTAACAATGCTTACAAAGGGAACACTGGGAGTCCTTCTTTTGAGTTAGTCCAATTATGTTTATCTGCAGCAGAATAATATAGCTGAGCTTAACTTTGAAAATAACCTTGTCTTTTTATTCGACTCACTAGAGCATCAGAGTGCTGCCAAGGCCTTTTTGAATTTTTTTGCTGCAGATGTTGCATTGTTAAAACGCCTGTCTTGTCAAATTAGTTGTCCTGTTTCTGTCCGGCACTAATGACCCTGAGTGTGAGAAACTCTGACCGCAGATATTCTCACTGCAGCTCACGGATGACTGGGTCGCTGTGGAGCAGACATCACGGCTGCAGGGTAAGTTCAAGGGGGCACAAGACGTCTACGTTTTGTCTCAAAGGCTGTGAGAACAACAGTAAAGGAAGTTTAAAGAAAGAAACTTTAGCAATATGATGGTAGGACTTGTCAATAATGCCGTATGCTTAATATTTCTAAAAGTGCATTGTTCCAGGTATCATAATAATGCAAATTATTCAATAACTATTACTATAATAAAAAATGCAGATTATCTTTTAGGGTCTTACAAGCCTGGAGTTTATTAGTCTGAGAGGAAAACGGTATAATTTTACACAAAATCTGCGCTCAACCGCAGATGTTAAAAAGTAAAAACTCATTTATATATGTTCAAATTGCAGGTGCACTCATATTTAGATTAAAAATAGGAACATTATAGAGGAATTACATACTTTAGAACATAAATGTTCATATTTTCTAAATATATGTTGTCATACCGACTTAAGCTGCAGAAAACTGAAGTTTTTATTAATATAGACCTATACAAAAAACTTGCAGCTACAAATACAAAAGGGTTGTTGTTAATTTAAATATCTGGAGTATGCTCTATTCCTCATTACAATAGTAATTCAATCTATGCATTTCAAGAATATGCCAGTCAAACCGAGAAGAAAGAAAGAAAGAAAGAAAGAAAGAAAGAAAGAAAGAAAGAAAGAAAGAAAGAAAGAAAGAAAGAAAGAAAGAAAGAAAGAAAGAAAGA